GTCATATTAGTCAAGTATAACAGAAATAACAGTTAACACTAAAGTGTCGCAAGTCTCTAACTCATATAAAAAAATAAAACTTTTGAAAGGGTGCTCAGTTCCCTATCCCAAAGGACGAACAATTTGAAACCTATTTTGAAAAAAAAGATCAAATCGAGTCCAGTAATCAAGTACATCATAATAAGCTAAAAGTCTTTTTGTGGACCAAGGATACAACAATTACAATTATCTATCCCGTAGTAAGCTCATAATTAGGGAATTTTTGAGAACCATTTCGATTGAATAGAAGAAACCTTTTTTTGGCTAAATTGTACTGAGATCGGGATCTTCAATAACTTTAATTTTTTTTATTTTTCCTGTATTCAGTACAGTAATACATATCGTAAGAGGGGGACACTCTTAAGATGTACACCAATATGTTCTCAGCACCCATCTCAGTTGAAAACAGATATAGTTTAAAGGTAATTCAAAATTCGATTTTTATGGTCGCAAAATTTCATTAAAACTTTATAATGAAGAAGGACTTTGTCATTTCGTGATCACCCATACATATAATACTTTCGTTTCTCAAATTTTCTTTAAAAAATCGGTGTTTTGTTTAGTCTATATATTCTAGAAGTTCTAGTCTAAAACAATCAAAGTATATATTTAAAAACAGTATCTTCTGAAGATATATGATCTGATTTGTTTTATATAGTTTCTTATATTGTTTATATCAGCATTTAGGCAAATATTTGTCTAATATGACCTATGCCTTACAAATATTTAAAGACTGTTCAAGAAAGAGTCGTATACCAAGATATCTTGATCTGTCATTTTAATAATTTTGACGGGACATCCTCTAAGACATGTCCAATGCATTTTATGTATTCTTCTATCATTCATTATTTTCAAAAAGAGGTCCTCAGAAATATGTAGAACAGAAAGTTAATGCAATTATGAACACTTTTCATCTTTTTCATAAATAGTCGATGTCTGAAGACTTAATATTCTTCAGCGGAATCGATAAATTTCATCTGGATAAACTTTGTAAATGTTGGAGAAACTGAATAAAATCTCAAAGTGGTGCCCAAAAAGGAAGATATCTTCTGGGAATTCTCGAATGTTATAAAGAACATTATTAATTACCACATAATAATCTCTCTACAGTCCAACAAGTCCTAAATAGTTTTCTATCATTATCATTTGTTCCACAAATCGTTCTTTGATCGACCCAAGTACATTTCTCTTGGCTGAGGCTCCTCCATTCCTTGGAATAGAGGTCTTCTCACACATTCTTTAATATTTAGTTTAGATTAATCGGAGAACAGAAAATTTCACCATTGGGTCAATATTGCGATGAATCTGAACACAATATTAAAGAGCCAGATATAAAATACTTTAACATAAGAAGGCCAACGATCACACACCAGTCTATTTCCTTAGTTAACTATAGATTTTTCTACTCTGGTATTGGACCTATTTGACAAATAGCTACATATTAAGTTGGACCTTCTCACAGTAAAGCTTTTAATGTCAGATTCTTTGATAAAACGCTCAGACTCTCCCAATTCCGATAAATCTGAAAAAAATACTAAAGAATCAGACATGAAAAACTTTACCGTGAGACGAACCCGTCCTCAGTAAGTGACAGATTTTTTTGGTATTGAACCTATTTGTCAAATAACATAATAAATGGACAGATTTTTATAAAAGTATGATAGAAAACCTAATTTCTTCGGAAGATGACGAGATTCCGTTTATTTTGGTATTCTAAAACGAAAATGTAGCCAGGTGATTGTTTGGAAGCATCAAATGTTCACTTTCTTCAGTGAGTAACACAATATTCTGACTTAAACTTTATTTAAAACCATTGGATCATTATAGATCGGTTCGTCTAAAGAGACAATGAACTTATTAGGCACAATATCTTTGATTATATAAATTGTACATGGAACAACAATGGAAAAGAATGGAATTTTGTCACTGAAAACAGTGTTTTCAAACTATAGTCCCGCGATAGATTTCTTAAGAAAAAGAACGGGAGAAAACTAGAGAGAAAAGTAATAAACTTTTGAAAACTATTTACCAAAGTGAACTAAAATAAAGAAGGTTTCATAACGAACGACAGTTTTTTTTAATTTGAAATCATTCCTAATGAAACCCCCTTTAATATGGGCCATTCACAGGGTGTAAGAGACATTTATAAAATGGTTTCAAATTGTAAGCAAATGTTCACTTGTTAAGTAATACACCCCTTTAAAACTAGTCACGGTATCACTATTTTTTGTACAATTGTCCAAAGTAAGAACTACAGTTGTCTACAGTACACAAATTCCAATGCTGATACGCACAATACAATAAAAAATCCTTAAAAGGCAATGACGACTTGTCTGTATTATTCGCACTTGTCGTTTGTTGTATCATAGACAATATTGGTTAATGACTTAATAACGTTTTAGTATGTTCGGGCTATGAATACACATACTAATTAGATTAAATATGTATGTATTTTGAAAACAAGTGACTTGGATCATAAATTTTTATTCATTTCAAGTCGATATTTATTTGGTGGAATTCACGCAAGTTTTCAATCAATGGCTCTAAGTGGAAAGTAATAAGAAATATTTTTTTGTTAATTAGTTTAAGTACCTAATAATATTTAGTTTAAATTGTCCTGCTTAATAGATAAGAAGTTTTTGGAGATTTTGTATTTTATTCAACATTATTAAAACAAGCTATTTTACAAAAAAAACTGGTGTATGTATTTTGAAATCTAATTTTCTTTCGCTAAGTGGTGAAATTGTCGCGTTTTGTTAACTCATATCAAACGGTCTTTCTTAATTTCAATATCAATTATGAAATTAATAAAAGAACGGGAATGTAGGTGGACATGTGTTGTCTTGTATTGTGTGATAAAATTGAAAATTGCGTGCAATTTGAAAAGAAGAATTTGTTTTGCAATTGAGTTTTTTCCCTGCTCCTTTTTATTCTTCGTTATCATTTGAATTTGAAGGTCAATTAATATAATAATGAAATACATAAATGTAGATTTCATATTGTTGATGTTTCTGTGGTGTTGTTATTCGCAATTAAATACTCACCTGAGTTTTACACGATATCGGGTATAAATTAAATAACGTTTTGTTGAAAAGTGACAGTTAATAAATTTTAACTTTCGATTTGAAATTGCTTTGTGTTACACACTCGCATTTAAAAGTGAAAACGTCGAAAAGGTGGAAAAGAAATGTCATTCGCAAATGATTTGTATCATTTTTTTAAGAGTAATGATACAATGGTTACAAGGTAAGAGAAGGTAAAGTGTGTGATTTTTGTTAAAAAAAGTTTTAAAAGGGTGATTTTCATACAAGACAAAAGATTAGACTACAGACTAGACAATAGACTAGACTATAGAATAAACTATAGACTAAACTAGACTAGACTATAGACTAGACTATAGACTAGACTATAGACTAGACTATAGACTAGACTATAGACTAGACTAGACTAGACTAGACTAGACTATAGACTAGACTATAGACTAGACTATAGACTAGACTATAGACTAGACTATAGACTAGACTATAGACTAGACTATAGACTAGACTATAGACTATACTACTAGACTATAGACTAGACTATAGACTAGACTAGACTATAGACTAGACTATAGACTAGACTATAGACTAGACTATAGACTAGACTATAGACTAGACTAGACTATAGACTAGACTAGACTATAGACTAGACTATAGACTAGACTATAGACTAGACTATAGACTAGACTATAGACTAGACTATAGACTAGACTATAGACTAGACTATAGACTAGACTATAGACTAGACTATAGACTAGACTATACTAGACTATAGACTAGACTATAGACTAGACTATAGACTAGACTATAGACTAGACTATAGACTAGACTATAGACTAGACTATAGACTAGACTATAGACTAGACTATAGACTAGACTATAGACTAGACTATAGACTAGACTATAGACTAGACTATAGACTAGACTATAGACTAGACTATAGACTAGACTATAGACTAGACTATAGACTAGACTATAGACTAGACTATAGACTGGACTATAGACTAGACTATAGACTAGACTATAGACTAGACTATAGACTAGACTATAGACTGGACTATAGACTAGACTATAGACTAGACTATAGACTAGACTATAGACTAGACTATAGACTAGACTATAGACTAGACTATAGACTAGACTATAGACTAGACTATAGACTAGACTATAGACTAGACTATAGACTAGACTATAGACTAGACTATAGACTAGACTATAGACTAGACTATAGACTAGACTATAGACTAGACTATAGACTAGACTATAGACTAGACTATAGACTAGACTATAGACTAGACTATAGACTAGACTATAGACTAGACTATAGACTAGACTATAGACTAGACTATAGACTAGACTATAGACTAGACTATAGACTAGACTATAGACTAGACTATAGACTAGACTATAGACTAGACTATAGACTAGACTATAGACTAGACTATAGACTAGACTATAGATAGACTATAGACTAGACTATAGACTAGACTATAGACTAGACTATAGACTAGACTATAGACTAGACTATAGACTAGACTATAGACTAGACTATAGACCTAAGACTATAGACTAGACTATAGACTATAATATAGACGAGACTATAGACATAGACTATACGACTAGACTATAGACTAGACTATAGACAGACTATAGACTAGACTATAGACTAGGACTATAGACTAGACTATAGACTAGACTATAGACTAGACTATAGACTAGACTATAGACTAGACTATAGACTAGACAGTAGACTAGACTATAGACTATACTATAGACTAGACTATAGACCTAGCTATGACTAGACTATAGACTAGACTATAGACTAGACTATAGACTAGACTATAGGACTAGACTATAGACTAGACTATAGACTAGACTATAGACTAGACTATAGACTAGACTATAGACTATGACTAGACTAGACTACTAGACTAGACTATAGACTAGACTATAGACTAGACTATAGACTAGACTATAGACTAGACTATAGACTAGACTATAGACTAGACTATAGACTAGACTATAGACTAGACTATAACTATAACTATAGAATAGGACTAGAGACTAGACTATAGACTAGACCTATAGACTAGACTATAGACTAGACTATAGACTAGACTATAGACTAGACGATAGACGAGACTATAGACTAGACTATAGACTAGACTATAGACTAGACCTATAGACTAGACTATAGACTAGAACTATAGACCTAGACTATAGACTAGACTATAGAACTAGACTATAGACTAGACTATAGACTAGACTATACAGACTATAGACTAACTATAGACTAGACGGATCGTCGGTTTTTATTTTATTTAATTTTTTAAAAAATAATATTAAAGGGTAAACATTAGTTTATATTGCTAATTTTTTAATCTAGACTAGACTATAGACTAGACCTATAGACTAGACCTATAGACTAGACCATAAATTAGACTATAAACTAGACTACAGACTACTAGATAGAGGAGTAAATGGAAATAAAATTTTCGAAATGAAAAAAATGCTGAGTTTAAACTGAAAGTTTAAAGGAGATATTCTTGCTTTTAAACTTCTTTTAAATTCGAAGTTTAAACTGAAGTTTAAAGGAGATATTCTTGCTCTTAAACTTCTTTTAAATTCGAAGTATTATTTTAAACTACAATTTTATTAACATAAAATTCTTTTAATTTCCCTCCATTTACAGTGCCATGACCGATAAACACTCCGTACAGGGCGATGTTACCGACGATCCGGCAATAAACTTTGTTGAGCATGAGTTAATACCAAATTTTCAACGTGTCTCCATCTCGGGAGAAGATACCAGTGGTGTGCCATTGGAGGATTTAGAACGAGCTTCCACTTTAATTATACAGGCTCTAGAAATGCGTTCACGTTACATGTCCATTTCGGAACAATCATTTCCCACAACAACGTTGCGTTTTTTGAAAACCGTACATGAAAGTGATCGTTTTAATAAGATCCAATATGAAGATCGTAAATCTATAGCGGGTAAGTTTTGTTATTTAAATTCGTTTAATGTTTAGTTTACTATAAAAAGCCTTGCCTTTTTTTCCATTACTCTTATTTATTTTAACTTTTATTATTCAATATTTAATTTTGAATATTTCTTTATACACTTAAAAAAATCTTAAATGGTTTATTTTGTACAGCAAATTAAATGTTGTGAAAATATGTATAAATATTAAGATTAGTTTTTTTTTTCTATTTATTTTATTTAATTTTTTTAAAGAATAATATTAAAGTGTAAACAATTAGTTTATATTGCTAATTTTTTAATAAGTCTAGTTTATTTATTTTTATTATTATTAAGTTTTATTGAATTTTCTTTTATTTTTTTTCTTTAAATCTTCTTTTTTACTTGTAAAAAAATATCTTGTTTTCATTCATTATTCTTTTATAGAATTAATCCGCAAGATCAGTCTACCAATGATCCATTTACCACCCAGAGGTATTAAATGATCTCTCTCTTTCTCTTTCTATCTCTCGTTTGAAATTTATTAAGTTCTTATCAATTATTTTTTTCTGTTTTGTTTGTTTATGTTTTATTTTGTGAGTTATTTTTTTCCAACTTTTAACTTTGTTTTTAAGCTGTTTTTTTATTATTTAGGATTTATTTTAATTTATTTTGATTAAATTTTAATAATAGTGTGTTCACATTGCAGTAAAATTATTTAAAAGAATTTTTTTTTTTTTTTGTGTGAGCTTTTCAGAATATCGAGAAAAGTAATGGTTCAGATTTGTTAAGTTCCAAATTAAACATTTGAATTTTCGAATTAAGATCGAATTTCTAAAATTTTATTACAATTTGGGCGCATTTTTGGTTTTTCAAAATTTAATTCGAATTTTTAGACAAAAATTAATTATAATATAGTAATTCATTAAAAAAATGTGTTTTTCTGGATAATTTTCATGTTCGAATAACGACAAATGTATGAAATGGTTGTAACATATTAAAAATTTTGTAATATTTGTGTTATATAACCTTAAAGCTATGTTTTGAGCCAAACTTTAGATTTTCGAAATTAAGTTCGAATTTTCGAATAATGTTAAAACTCACAAATTTCACTTGTATCTATAAAATTTTTTTTTTGGTAGAACTATTAACATTTTATTAAAAAAAAAGGATTTTTTTATGAAAATATCAAAAATTTTATATTCGAAAAACGAAAAACTTGCTTTGAATAAAATTCTATGTTCGAATATCCAAAAACTTAAGAATATTTTGCATTTCAAAACAAGTTTAAATCTAATTGTATTATTGAGACTTTTAAGAACATTTTAGGCTAATTTTTGGATTTTCGAAATTAAGTTCGAATTTTCGAACATTGTGAAAACTGGCGAATTTTACTTTTTTCATAATAAATATTTTCTCCTAATTAAATTTTATTTAAAAATTGAGATTTTTTCTTAGAAATTTTATAATTTTTATGTTCGAAAAGAAAAAAAAATTTGCAAAATCTATTAAAATAATTTAATGTAACTTTTCTGAATGAAAGATACTTAAGGCTTAAATTAACCCAAAATTGTCAACTATTTATTAAAAAAATCCGCTCAATTGTTTCTTTATAGTCCAGTCTAGCTATTGTTTGGATATTACTGCCTTATAAAACTTTTTCGTTGGCAATGTGAACGCTCTATTATTATAATTTTCTTTTAAATTGTTTTTTTTTTAATTTTTTGTTTATTTCAACTTAATCTCTTTAGATTACAATTGCTTAAGTTTGAATTTATTTTTCTTTCGTTTATTTTTTATGTTGTTCTTTTTTTACTTTGCTTGCTTTCGTTTATTGATTGCTTTTTGTTAATTATTTTCTTTTTTTTCTTGTGATTTTGAAAACAAACAAAAAAAAACATTAAACTTAAAAAGACAACATCCATTTATTGCTGAAATTTGTTTCTTAGTTTTGAAAATGAGTCTATTATTAGTAACTTATAATGCTTATTTATTGTGATTTTATTTTAATATGTTATGAACACGCCTTATAATTGTAATGTTCTGTATTTTAAATAATTAGATTAACAGCAATAGGAAATTATTTAAGCATACAATTAATGTCATTTAAAATGTTATAAAAATAAAATGCGTTTTTTTAGAATTTTGAAAACATATACAGAAATTTTCTTAATTTACTTCAAATATTTTATTAATCTGAACATCTCTTTAGTAGTTCGTTTCGTTATCATGCTAGTTTAATAGTTGAGATCAATCAGATATCAGCAGAGAGTAGCTTACGACCTCTTTGACTGCTTTCGTTTGTTTTTTATACATGTGTAAAATCAAAAGAGCATAACAGCACATGAGAAAGCCTTTTCCTAAATAGTCAAAATAATTGCAGAGCCATCTCAGTTTAGTTTCGAAAAAAGAAAAACCTTTATAATTTCTTAATAGTTTCGTTGTTAGTGTGAACACTAGATTTAAAATACAGAACATTTAGGAAATTTTTTTTGCAATTATTTTTATTTTTTTTTTATTGTTGATATGTTTTTTTAGGCAATTGTTATTATTAGTCTAAATAATGTTTATTGTATTTATATAAAAAACAACAACACCTTACACAAAAGGTTAAATCACGCATACAATTAATGTACAGTTGAGTGCATTAATTTAGCAGTATTAATTTTTATAAACTAATAAAAATAAAACATTTTTATTAATAAAGTTAATAGCTACTGTTTAAGCATTCAACTGTATATTTTCACTAAAATAACAGATGTGAATATTAGGTTGGCCCCGAAAATAGTTGCCGATAATTCCAATTACGAATGGAAATGTTTAGTTTAAAAAGGAAAACTTTAGTTAATGTTTTTAAATTTTGTATTCCAGTTAAGTTTGGAAGTTTCATAATAGCTGCTATATTCCAGTATATATTCTTTTCTATAGTCTATTCTATAGTCCATTCTATAATCTAGTCTATAGTACAGTCTATGGTCTAGTCTATGGTCTAGTCTATGGTCTAGTCTATAGTCTAGTCTATAGTTTAGTCTATAGTCTAGTCTATATAGTAGTCTAGTCTATAGTCTAGTCTATAGTCTAGTCTATAGTCTAGTCTATAGTCTAGTCTATGGTCTAGTCTGTAGTCTAGTCTATAGTCTAGTCTATAATCTAGTCTATAGTATAGTCTATAGTCTAGTCTAGTCTAGTCTATGGTCTAGGCTATAGTCTAGTCTATCGTCTTGTCTATAATCTAGTCTATAGTATAGTCTATAGTCTAGTCTATAGTATAGTCTATGGTCTAGTCTATAGTGTAGTCTATAGTCTAGTCTATAATCTAGTCTATAGTATAGTCTATAGTCCAGTCTATAGTCTAGTCTATAGTCCAGTCTATAGTCTAGTCTATAGTCCAGTCTATAGTCTAGTCTATAGTCTAGTCTATAGTCTAGTCTATAGTCTAGTCTATAGTCTAGTCTATAGTCTAGTCTATAGTCTAGTCTATAGTCTAGTCTATAGTCTAGTCTATAGTCTAGTCTATAGTCTAGTCTATAGTCTAGTCTATAGTCTAGTCTATAGTCTAGTCTATAGTCTAGTCTATAGTCTAGTCTATAGTCTAGTCTATAGTCTAGTCTATAGTCTAGTCTATAGTCTAGTCTATAGTCTAGTCTATAGTCTATCTATAGTCTAGTCTATAGTCTAGTCTATAGTCTAGTCTATAGTCTAGTCTATAGTCTAGTCTATAGTCTAGTCTATAGTCTAGTCTATAGTCTAGTCTATAGTCTAGTCTATAGTCTAGTCTATAGTCTAGTCTATAGTCTAGTCTATAGTCTAGTCTATAGTCTAGTCTATAGCTAGTCTATAGTCTAGTCTATAGTCTAGTCTATAGTCTAGTCTATAGTCAGTCTATAGTCTAGTCTATAGTCTAGTCTATAGTCTAGTCTATAGTCTAGTCTATAGTCTAGTCATATAGTCTAGTCTATAGTCTAGTCTATAGTCTAGTCTATATCTAGTCTATTCTAGTCTAGTCTAGTCTATAGTCTAGCCTACAGTCTAGTTTAGGTCTAGGCTATAGTCTAGTCTATAGTCTAGTCTATAGTCTAGTATATAGTCTAGGCTATAGTCTAGTCTATAGTTTAGTGTATGGTCTAGTTTATAGTCTAGTTTATAGTCTAGTTTATAGACTAGTATATAGTCTAGTCTAGTCTATAGTCTAGTCTACAGTCTAGTCTGGTCTACAGTCTAGTATACTAATTTCATGAACTATTTGCAATGTTATTAAGCCTTACAACAACGATTAAAGTTAGCACATTGCAGTTTTCTATAATTTGTTGTTGTAATCTTCAAAACTAAAGAATTGCTTATAGATTTATTAGAATAGAAAGGTTTGCAGCAGTAGTTTATTATGAAGATTTAATTCTGCTAATATGAATGAATGAAAATTTTTTTCGGGGTCACTCCTAATGCACAAGATCTAATAAATAACAACTAGTAGAATGCAAATCATTTTTAAGATTTTGTTTACTCACAAAAAAAAAAAAACATAATAATGTTTTTAGTGCCAACAACTTAGTAACAGTTTTAAAAATAAAGATTTTACTTTAGTTTTATGTTAATTTGTTCATATCACTTTAAAAAATTTTGCATAATTTTTTCAAATTTTAAAAATTTTGTTATGGAAAATTTTCTTAAGTGATATGAAGAGTTTTATTCACATATTAATATTATGCTCGACCCAAAATATGGTTGATATCGATGTCTTTCAATATTTACTATTGTGATATTTTAATTATTCCAAAGTGATCTTGGTCCTTATGTAAAATTATTAAAAGCTTAAACTGAGATCAAATTAAGGCATTTTATATTGACCAGGATTTTGATGGTATTTAAATTGAATTTTTAGTTCGTCTTCGAGTGCTGTAATTGACCTCTTTATAACGAATTTTCGCAATTTTCCATATTGAGTTTTCGACATTCGATTTCGAAAGAGAAGAAAATTACTTAAATTTTTTTTTAATTTATTTACCATTTCAAATATAGATCAGTTTACGAACATGTTTTAAACGACATCTTACAAAGGTCAAGGGCTCATTACTAAAATTTCGCTAATTAAATGATGACGCATTCAAATTTCGAAAAATTTCAAACAATGATCGTGTAGATCATGAATGAGTTAGTTCGGTGTCTAATAGGTAACAGAATAACATTCTAAGTTCTTGGCACTAGTATTTACTACTAAATGTAAATAACTTTCTTCACATCTGTAACATTTTTTTCACTTATTTCACTGATTGTAAAAATTTCATACAACTGCTACTATACAGACCGAAAAAACACGATACTTGGATACGAAATAATGGTTTGTTATGAAAATGAAAATGTTTCTTTTGAAATTTATTTTATTTATTTTTTATTTATTACTAAAACTATTGTATTGTTAAAATATTATGATTATGTTTAGTAAATTTTCTATTTTTAACTCAAATTATAAATTATTTTTTTTCTGTTTTTCACATGCGACGATGAAAATCTGACAAAACTACAAAAAAAAACAAATAAAAACAACAACAATTAAATAAATGTTTTAATTTTAAACGAAAAATTGCAATTTGGTTGCACTTTATTTTGCACCATTTAAAACACATTGCAATTAATCTTTTTTTCTTAACACTTAACTAAACACAACAACAACAACAACAATGCTCGTCATGCTGTCATCTTTTTTTTCGGTAAAACACATTTGAATTATTCACCTAAACACCGTAATGTTGTTTTGAAACGAACACTTTTGTATATGGTCGATCGTACTTAGATCATCCTATTCATCCACCAACGGAAACAAGTGATCCCTGGGATATTGAAATGCCTGCCGATAAATCATATTGCATTAGGGCTGTTGATGGTGTTTTTAATGTGTTTCAAAATGAGGTAAGTTTGTAGAATTAGAAGATTATTTTTAGTTAACTTAGCAAATGGTGAAAAAAAAACTTTGAAAACATCTTTTAAATGATCCTACTATAGTTATTATAAGAGTTTGGCCTTTCCTTAGGAAAAAAAGGGATGCTTGGTACAGCTATCGCTGAGTTGACAATCTTTGAACGACTATGACATGGATCATTTCGAAGCAATTGTCGTGCGAATGATCCTTACTTTTAATCTTATCTTATTAACAGATCTTTACTTCAGTCAATGCCTCGATCAAAGAATTTTATTGATATATAGTTTTATATGTAATTTTCGATTCTTACTGTTTTTTTTATTGTATTGTTTCTTTTTTATCTTCTAAATTTAGCAATCCGAAGAGCCCATGATACAAAATTATCCTAAACTCAAAGATTTTTGTAATGACATGCAAATCATGTGCAACATGATAGCAGATGGACCATTGTAAGTACATAGATCAGAACTATAAATAAATTTCCAAAATCTAATATAATTTTTCTCTCTCTCTCTCTTTTTTCCAAAGAAAATCATTTTGTTATCGACGTTTATGTTATTTGTCATCGAAATTCCAATTGCATGTTCTACTCAACGAACTAAGAGAATTGGCTTCGCAAAAGGCTGTGCCTCATCGAGATTTCTATAACATAAGGTAAATAAATACTTTTCTATATAAAACAAAATCATTTAAAATTTCATTATTAATTCTTTTACAGAAAAGTCGATACTCACATACACGCCGCCTCGTGCATGAATCAAAAACATTTATTACGTTTCATTAAGAAAACTCTCAAAAATAGCGCCAACGAAGTGGTCACCGTTACCAAGGGTCAAGAGATGACTTTGTCTCAGGTATTTCAATCGATGAATTTAACTACTTATGATCTGACAGTAGATATGCTGGATGTACATGCCGATCGTAATACGTTCCATCGTTTTGATAAATTCAATGCCAAATATAATCCTATTGGTGAGTCGCGTCTAAGAGAAGTCTTCCTGAAAACGGATAATTTTTTGAATGGAAAATATTTTGCACAAATTATAAAGGTATGTGGAGAGTAAATGGAAAAACAAATATATTCTAAACTTTTGTTTTTCTTATTAAAGGAAGTGGCCTTTGATTTGGAAGAATCTAAATATCAAAATGCCGAACTACGTTTGTCTATTTATGGCAAATCCCGAGATGAATGGAAGAAATTAGCCAAATGGGCCATTGATTATAATGTTTATTCAACAAATATACGCTGGCTTATACAAATACCCAGACTTTAGTAAGTTTGTGTTAAAGTATTACTTGTATAAACAAAAAATGTTATTAAATTTTCTTAATTGAACTTTTCAGTGATATTTTTAAATCAAACAAACTAATGACCTCATTCCAAGACATATTGGACAATATATTTTTGCCTTTATTCGAGGCTACCAAAGAGCCTAGTAAACATCCTGAACTACATCGTTTCTTACACTATGTTATTGGTTTCGATTCGGTAGATGATGAATCGAAACCGGAGAATCCTTTGTTTGATGGTGATATTACTACGCCACCCAAATGGACTGATGACGAGAATCCACCATATGCTTACTATATCTATTATATGTATGCAAATATGACAGTGTTGAATCAGTTTAGAAAGTGTGTAAACTTTTGTGTTGAAAAATAGACCTCAAACCCAAATTGTACTATTTGTTTAACTTTACAGGGAACGCGGCCTAAATACTTTTGTTTTACGTCCCCATTGTGGTGAGGCAGGACCTGTGCAACATTTAGTGTGTGGTTACTTAATGGCTGAGAATATCTCTCATGGTTTACTGTTGCGTAAAGTACCCGTTTTGCAGTATTTATATTATCTAACACAAATCGGCATAGCCATGTCACCACTCTCCAATAACTCGCTATTTCTTAACTATCATCGTAATCCATTACCAGAATATTTGGCACGTGGTCTTATAGTCTCGCTCTCCACAGATGATCCCTTACAATTTCACTTCACCAAGGAACCTCTAATGGAAGAATACAGTATTGCAGCTCAGGTATGGAAACTGAGCTCATGTGATATGTGTGAATTGGCTCGTAACAGTGTCTTAATGAGTGGTTTTCCTCACAAGGTAAGAATCCTTAAACTATATTCTAAACATATTTTATATCAATTATATTTAAATCATTTCCCAGATGAAACAACATTGGCTGGGACCAAACTATACCCGCGAAGGTGTTGCTGGCAACGATATTACACGCACCAATGTACCCGATATACGTGTGGCCTATCGCTCCGAAACTCTACTCGATGAATTGTCTAACATTTTCAAAGTTCATCAACATCCTTTGTCGGATGTGGTAGAGGAGAGTCCTTAAAATGTTTTGCGTTTTTGTCCTATAACGGAAATCATGGTTGAAATACTAATATTGATGGCTTATTCAATATTTAAAAACAATTTTGTGTTTCTTTTCTGTTAAATTAAGTGCGAATTTATTTGTGTATTGCTTTTTGTATAAGATATTCAATTCAAGGAAATGTTTAATGGTAACACAAACTATAACAAAACAATAATTATATAAAAAAATGTAATATTTTTTAAAAATAATAATAAAATGTTATAAAAAATATATATACTTATTAACCATTTACAAAGAAGTTGTTTTAGTTGGAGAATGTGGGAAATATAGCATTCGTTTCGATTAAACATGACAATATGTATAACATAAAAATTAAAAGTCTGGCAACACTAGCAATATATTTAAGTTTTCTATTAACTCCAGTTTTAATCATCAAGAATTTCAAAGTTATAACAATTCACATAGAAGTTACAATAATATAAAAATTTAAAAGTCTGGCAACACTGGCAATATAATTTTTCCCAACATGTATAATTCAAATTAATACCTTCCATTTAACTCAATTTCTATTCAAATCGGTTCAGTACTTTTGAAGTTATACAAATTTTAAATAAAATTACAAAAATATAAACATTTTTAAAACAGTGGCAACACTGGTAAACAAATTTTTTCGTAAACAATAAGATTAAATCATAATTTACAGTTTGTCTTCTGCTTCAAGCAAAACGCTTAGTTACATTCAAACAAATTCAAAAAAACTAACAACAGTTATATATGTATATATTGAAAATCTGGCAACACTGGCATAATTATATTTTATAAAATTAATAATTCTGATTAATACCTTTTGATCCATTCTATTTTCATTCATCTAAGTTAATTACTTTCAAAGTTATAACAATTTCAAAAACTTATAACAACATACAACATTTTCAAAACAATGGCAACTCTGGTGAAACAAGTATTGCATAAAACGAATAGATAATTTTATAAGCTAACGTTTGCCATTAGTTTTAAGTAAATAGCCTTAAAACTTTCAAATTTATAGCAATTTTAAAAATACCTTAATTTAATAATATTTTCAAAATTTGGCAACTCTGTTACTACATTGTTTCAGCGCCATCTATTGATGGGCACTCTTGCTTTTCAGCAAACGAAAAAATGTGTGAAACGGATGCATTTTTTAAAAGCGCTATAACTTTGTTACTACTGAACCGATTTTAATCCGGTTTATACCAAATTAAAGGCGATATATTGTAGTTTTTGAAAATTTAATTTGCCAGAGTTGCCAAGTTGTTAAATTTATTATTATGTTTAAGTTAATGAATCATTGCATTTATTTCCTTTGCATACCAAGTTATTTGACATTAGATTCCAAACTAAAGTTTTTTGCCAAGCTGTAGATCTTCTTGAAGACCTCCAAACTTTTTCAACTAAAGTTGCCAAGTGGTTGAAATTTCTTCGATCTGTTTTATATATAAAACTATAGTAAGAAATTTAACAATGAGGACTTGGCACAGAATATTTAAATGACCAATTATTTCTAACAATAACCTGGCAACTCTGGTAGCAAATATATTATGCAAAACCATCTAAATTAGCCCAAAAATTCTAGTTGGAGTGTTGCAGTCATGCTGATTTTAAAAAATCTCACAAAGAATGCAATTTTTCCCAATAAATCTTATGGCAACTCTGGAAATATTAATTTTTGAGTTTAGTTTGTTAATTCTTTTTTACAGAAACTATAATATAAAAACTATTCATCAATCATTTAGCTTTCAGAAGAAATCTTTAATTTACTTGAAGATATCATAAAATTACAACCTGGTTACCCTGTTAAAATAGATTTTTAAAATCTTGAATTTCTTACCTACAAAAACGTTCAACATTTATCCAAATCGGTTGCCTACTTTCGGAGTTATAACGTTTTGAAAATATACATCTGCCAACCACAATTTTTCGTTTGTTGAAAATCAATGTAGCCAATCAATAGATGGCGCTGAAACAATGTTTAAACAGGGTTGCCGAGTTTTATAAAATTTGGTAAATTAAAGGATTTTGTTAAATAGCTATAACTTTGAAAGTACTGAAGCGTTTTGCTTGCAACTAACGGCAAACAATAGTTTATGATTTATTCTATTTGTTTTAGGAAAAACTTATTTCACGAGAGTTGCCATTTGATTGAAAAAGTTGTATATTTTTATAACTTTTTTAAAATGTGTATAACTTTAGAAGTTGTAAACCGATTTGAATGAGATTAGAGATAAATGAAAGTTCTTAATTTGAGTTAGTTATTTTGGGATTTGTTTTTGCCACATGGTTACCAAGTTTTGGAAATATTGGTAAGTTAAGAGATTATTTTAAATTGTTATAATTTCGAAAGTACTTAAAAGTTTCAAGTAAATGTGATGTCAATCGTTAGGTACTAGTTGTGAATGCTTTTGGAACTTACCACTGTTGAAAAATGCCATTACAAAACAACTCCAAAGTTATTTTACATACATACAACATTTATTTTTTGTTTGTAATAAAAAATATGATATAAATATACATACATATGCCTTGTTAAACATTATGTAAGAACTTTAATAAGACAAATAAACTAGAAAACTGATAAATGCTAATTAAAATGAAGAATGAATAATTAAAAATGTGAACAATTAAAAGGTAAAACAAAAAAAAAAAAAAAGATAAAATAAGTAAGGATATCACGGATATAATAGAACTTAACTATACTCCTATAAATATAGAAAAATATAAATAGTTTGGCTTTATCAGGAAATATTACTGGAAATATCTCCTAACAATACAAAAAAAAAACTTATTTAAAAATGTACTTTTTTTAAAAAAAGAAAAACCCTTCTAGTACTTAACTTAAAAATATTTTCTAAAATGTTTATAATTAATTAGATTAAAAATAAAAACAGGAAACTTAATCTGAACACAGTTAAAATTATAAAAAACAGAAAAGTAACCGGCCGTAAAAAAATATATTTACGTTGCACAGTGGTATAGGAAAAAAAAAAGAGGGAAATAATTCGGTAACTTCTAAACGGTTAATCCGATTTTAATGAAATTTGATATGCACAAAGAGGAGGTGTTGTCGAGTTTAGGTTTTGAATTTGGACCTTATAGGCCAACCAGGGGCCCGGCGGGGGGTCCTCAAATTAGGACACCTCGGCTATGTTAAATTTTTAAAACGATCCTATTTCTTCATTTGAGTTCCGATTTAAAAAAAATTTCGTATATAGAATCTCCTCATCGAGCACTATAAAAAATGTCGTCGTAGCAGTAAATTATCTCTTATAGTTTAGGAGATATTCGCATTTGAAAATTAAAATTTTAAAATTTTTAGCGTCTTTACTTTAGTTTTTTGATAATAGCGGGTCCAAATATTCCCGATTTTCGCCATTTTTTCTTTATTCGCTTAACAACAAGTTTATATAGCAAGCAGTGAAAGAATTATGTAAAAATCATGACTGAGTCCAAAGTTATAGGCATTTTAATTTAAAAAATTAAAAAAAGGCGATTTTTTGACATTTTTTTGGGAAAAAAGTATCTTTTTCTTTTTAAGTTATCTAAAAAGTTTCTAAGAAGATGTATATAGAATTTATACTTTTTGGAAAGCTGACTTTACATGAAATACGATAAATGAAACAAAACCTAAAAATTTTTGATACCGAGGGGACCAGGTCCATCCAAAAAAACCCTATTTTTTATGGAAAATTCAATTTTGAGCAAAAATTCTCAAATCGCATAGTCGATATCAAATTATAGTGACCTGTTTTATATGACCCAATATGTTCTTAATCATTTTGTAACGGGTTTCGATAACCCCGCCCCTGGTATGGATATAATAGGCAAAAAACCAAAAAATCCCATTTTTGGGATTTTTTAAAACTTTTTTGGGAATTCCGGGATTTCTAATAAGAAAATTCGAAATTTTTATTTAATTTTGGATTTTGAGTAAAAAAATCTACCTAACTGTAAAATTTCATCAAAAAATATTCATAAATAAAATTTTTATTGCAATTTGAAAAATTTGTATCTTCGCAAAAACTTAATAGAACACATTTTTTAATTTTTTTTTTTTAAAGTATTCCGCGAATTTTTTAATTTTCAAAAATTATGTACAGTTTTGAAAAATAGACAAAATTACCTTTCCATTGATATATAACATGCCTACCTAATGTTTTTTAAGTGACAAATTAATTAGGGAAAACTCAACATCTTTTAGAAAATTTACCTAGCACTATTATTTTCATCCATAAGGTTAACTCTTAAACTTGTTACATATATGGATGAAAATAATAGTGCTAGGTAAATTTTCTAAAAGATGTTGAGTTTTCCCTAATTAATTTGTCACTTAAAAAACATTAGGTAGGCATGTTATATATCAATGGAAAGGTAATTTTGTCTATTTTTCAAAACTGTACATAATTTTTGAAAATTAAAAAATTCGCGGAATACTTTAAAAAAAAAAAAATAAAAAATGTGTTCTATTAAGTTTTTGCGAAGATACAAATTTTTCAAATTGCAATAAAAATTTTATTTATGAATATTTTTTGATGAAATTTTACAGTTAGGTAGATTTTTTTACTCAAAATCCAAAATTAAATAAAAATTTCGAATTTTCTTATTAGAAATCCCGGAATTCCCAAAAAAGTTTTAAAAAATCCCAAAAATGGGATTTTTTGGTTTTTTGCCTATTATATCCATACCAGGGGCGGGGTTATCGAAACCCGTTACAAAATGATTAAGAACATATTGGGTCATATAAAACAGGTCACTATAATTTGATATCGACTATGCGATTTGAGAATTTTTGCTCAAAATTGAATTTTCCATAAAAAATAGGGTTTTTTTGGATGGACCTGGTCCCCTCGGTATCAAAAATTTTTAGGTTTTGTTTCATTTATCGTATTTCATGTAAAGTCAGCTTTCCAAAAAGTATAAATTCTATATACATCTTCTTAGAAACTTTTTAGATAACTTAAAAAGAAAAAGATACTTTTTTCCAAAAAAAATGTCAAAAAATCGCCTTTTTTTAATTTTTTAAATTAAAATGCCTATAACTTTGGACTCAGTCATGATTTTTACATAATTCTTTCACTGCTTGATATATAAACTTGTTGTTAAGCGAATAAAGAAAAAATGGCGAAAATCGGGAATATTTGGACCCGCTATTATCGAAAAACTAAAGTAAGGACGCTAAAAATTTTAAAATTTTAATTTTCAAATGCGAATATCTCCTAAACTATAAGAGATAATTTACTGCTACGACGACATTTTTTATAGTGCTCGATGAGGAGATTCTATATACGAAATTTTTTTAAATCGGAACTCAAATGAAGAAATAGGATCGTTTTAAAAATTTAACATAGCCGAGGTGTCCTAATTTGAGGACCCCCCGCCGGGCCCCTGGTTGGCCTATAAGGTCCAAATTCAAAACCTAAACTCGACAACACCTCCTCTTTGCGCATATCAAATTTCATCAAAATCGGATTAACCGTTTAGAAGTTACCGAATTATTTCCCTCTTTTTTTTTTCCTATACCACTGTGCGTTGTTTTGCGCAAACATAAAAAAGTCTTTTGTTGCCTTTTAAGTGTAAAATAGTAGAACAACTACTAAATATATGTATATAAAAAAACACTTAGCCACACTTCTCTCTAAAAAGGTGAATTCATGCCCAATTTTGTACCAAAATCTAAACGGGCTCGTCGTTGATAGCGTGTATTAACTCTGTGTAAATAGAAAGCAAAAAAATGTTTTTAAAGAAAATATTTTCAAATAAGTAAAGAAAAACACTTACTTTATTTCCTGCCATTTACAAATTTCCGAAACTATTAAACTTATTAAACAGCCCACAAATAGAAATACTATAGCTGGCCAGGCATCATCCAATTGATCGTGAACATCATCATTAAGTAAAATTTCGGTCATACAGAGAAATGAGTGAAAAAATAATATACAAAAACAACTAAATGCCCAAATGCGATTACGGAAGGGATTCTTTTGCCACAGCGAATGATCACGATGGACAAAAGATGCAGAAACTGTAACTGTAAAGATAATAAACACAAGAAAGCAATGAGTATAATCATGAAAACTAGCTACTAACCACAACTTTTGGAGTTTGTAGGAGAGTGAGGAAAGAAGAATGATATTCTTCTTTATTTTCTCTTCTGCAAATTCAAAAAATTGATCGACAAAAGTTTATTTTTCGCTTCCAACTTACCAAAATGCAATAAAATGCCAAGTGTAGAGAAAATTCTTGCGATCTCTAAATTGATATGTTTATCATCTTCTTCGACATCCATTATTTTTATAGGATGATCCATAAATGCACAATAGGATAAAATCTATAAACAAGATTATCATTAAAATTCTATTACTCTTCCAAACACAACACACAAAACTCACCATTACCAAAATGGGTGTTAGAAATTTACAGCCGTAACACCATAACACGAAACCAAACACCCGTGAATCGTATTCCGTTTGTTTTTTGCCCGTAGCACGATTCATTATTTTCGGATCTAAATCGATGTGCGCCAAGGCGAGTGATATTAAAGGCACTGGTATGCACATTATATAAATCACCATCAAAGGAGTGAGTAGAGGTCTTAGCGATAAACAGGCACTAAGAATATTAATTAAGGATAGAGCACCGCCACAGCAGGCCCAAAATTGTATGCAATTCCAGAGGCCCGATGAGAAGCGACGAGATAACTCTATTATGGCCACCAAAGAGAGAGGATCCTCACGTTTTACCGATATTGAGCAGGGCAGGGAGTTAAGGATGCGGCTTAAGTATATGGGGGATATAGTGTTGCCGGGACATTGCATGGGACGAGCATTGCCACTAGTGGCACCATATTGTCCTGTTTCCAGCAATTCTTCGGCGGCAAATTCTTCTTGTAGTACCCGGCTGGGAGAAGCAACTGATTTGCGTTTTATTCTCAACTTATTGTTGATTATATTGGCCTCGGTGTAGGCTTCTATATCTTGGCACACTTGAGGATATAAAGGCTCTACAGCTATGCTGCAATCGGCTTGTAAAAATATTTCCGCATTTGAATTGCTGGCGGATGAACCCAAGCAGACAACAATTTCGCCATATGATTGCATTATTTCCAACATTTGGGTGGTGGCTTCGGCCGAACAGTCGGTGAAGAGAGAAACTTGCAAAGGAACATTGTCCACCTTCTCCAAGTGAGGTCTTATATTCTCAATGCCTCTAGGTAATTTGGCTCTATTGGACATGTCAAAGTGTACGGGGGCACTCTGTTCGGTACTTTCTGTCAAAATGCTAATCGAACGACAATTCTCATCTAAGGCAGAATCTTGAGATTGACGTCTACAACTGGCCTTTAGGGATTCATTGATGGAGTCTCGCGAACCCGCCAGACTGGCATTGGAACAGGTTTCATTATTATCGGCCACATGCATCAAATTATTGGATATGGCTCCGGGAGCGGAAGAACTCAGTGTCTTGGAAGACTCTAGATTAGTAAGTGGTGGCAATAGATAATTCAAATCGGAGGAATCATCATCAGTGGCTACATTACCTAAAATTTGGATTTCAATGGAATTATCATTATCATGAGTGTCTGATGTAGCTGAAGTTGTTGTTGTTATAATGGCAGTGGTTGTGGTGGTGGTGGAACACGTTGGTGGTTGAGGTGGTTGTATGAACTCAATCACATCATGATTTATAACTGAAGATGAACGTTTGTTAATGGTAGTAGAAGTAGTAGAAGTACTAGTTGTAGTAGTAGTGGTAGTAGTAGTAGTACAATTAATGGCGGTGATTATGGTTTTATTAGCATGAGAAGTCGAGGTTATGGTAGGGGGATTGGTGGTGGAGGTAGTAGTAGAAGTAGTGGTGGTGGTAGTCATATTATTTACGTTGTTAGAGTAATCAAGTTTACCAGTAGTTTTGGGCGATTGTACACCGCCTCCGGCATTCGCCAACTTTTCATCCGATTCGCTTAACAATGAAATGTGACAATTCCAACCGGATTCCAGACCCATCTTCTCAGAGAAAACACGGGACCGCAATTCGTTCTCTTTGCTGAAATGGACAAAACGTATACAGGCCCGTTCGAGACGTTCCACAAGCTGTACTATGTCTGTCTGAGCCTGATACTGCATTGTCACCATGCCGATGAATACTTGATGACATTGCATCTCGAAACAGCCCTCGACATCGGTAATGTCATCCTCTTTGCTTTCGGAGAAGAGCAAAGAATCTGTACTAATGCTGTGACTCAATTTACCATGACCACACTCAAAGTCACAGTGCATTTTGTCCACATGTTGCATGCGCAATTTCGATTCGGGAGGCAATTCTAAATAGGCTATATTGCCGCCATTTTTATTGGGTCCGCCACTTAAGGCACCGTTTATGCCATGTCTGAGGGGTCGATAGGCAAAGGCGGTACAGTAGGCTGTCAAAGCACTGCGCTGATAGAAATCTAAGGCTCTTTTACGATCTTGTGGGGAGAGGGGTCGTAAATCCTCACCATCCCAGAAGTCATCACAACAATCTAAAATAATGTCCGCTGTACCCTGGGTGAAAAGCGAAAGATAACCACCAGGATTTTCACGCATTACCACCGATAAAGAGTGTGGAAAAGGAACTTTAACTTTAGATGATAATTGCAGTTGGCGGGCGAAGCGTATGTCTCTGCGCACCACATCCGGTTGCTAGAAAAAGTCATAATATAAAAAATTTAATAGAATGTTCTTATTACTTATAAACTGAAAAGCATTATTACGACACATCTAGCTGTTTTAAAATAGCCTTTATTTCTTTGGAACTTTCTTACCAAATGTCTGTAGGTGGCCAATTGGCCTTCCAGTGTAAAACGATCGGTGGCATGATCTGTAAAACCAATCTGTTTGGCCAACTCACATAAACAGCGTCTGTTTTTTTTTTGTGTTATTTGAAATTTGTAGTAAAATAAAAACGATTAGTAACTTTAGTAACTTGGTTTAAATAAAAACAAATTATATTTCATGATCAAAATTCATCATCAAAGAAAAGCAAAATGCAGTAGGGTTTTTTACAGAAATTAAAAAAAAGATAAAGGATTATAGTAATTAGATTCAAGTAAACGAGAAAAACAACTCAAAAACGACTTAAGATAATAGTTTTAACAAGAAATAGGTTTAAGTAAAGAACAAAACATAAAGGACTAAAGACTAGGGAACATATTTACAAAAGATTCTTTAAGTTAATAAAGTTATTAAACAAACTTTTTCTAATTTGTTTTTTTTTTTTAACTTTAAAAATCCTTTGTAAATATGTGTACAGAATAAAGACAGTTATAAAAGATATTAGCAACATAGTAATAAAATGTTAAGTAAAAAATCATAAAAAAAGACAAAAGTTCAAAAGTAAAATATATGTGAAAAATAACAATTTAAGTTAAATACCAATAGTTTTGTGAGTTGTTTAACGTGGGCATAGAAAAGCTTTGGTGTTTAAGAAATTGAAAAAGCTGTGTGTGTGTGTGGTGCTTAGTTGTTATTTTTCTTTCTTTAATGGTGTCACTATTAGATGTTTAAACAAAAATCTTTACAAAATAAATTTGGTTTTTGTATGTTTACCAAAAGATATTTTTAAAGTTAAGTAATATATTTAATTTAAAAGATGATCTTTTGATATCAAGCAATGATCCTGTTCCTTTTTGTAAGCTGAATATTTTTGTCAAACGACAGATTTGTAAATTAATAAAATTCGTTAACAAGTTTGAAATATATACGCGTTTATAATTCGAAAATGTAAAAAATAAAAATTATGTGATAATGATCTTTAACTTGACTTTTTTTTAAATTTTTCTTTAAAAATTTTTTGAAAATTTGTCGAAAATTTTTAGATTTTTTTTTTTTTTTTGAAATTTGTTTGTTAGAAAAATTTTAAAATTTTTTTCTTATAAAAATTTATAACTTTTTTTTTATTTCGTCGAAATTTTTCATTAGAAAAATTCGTCAAAATTAGTTTTCGAAAAATTCGTCGCAATAATTTCTTTAAAAAAATTTGCCGATTTTTAAATTTATTTGTAATACAAAGCCTAAAAAGGCCAAAATAAGAAGAATTCATTGAAAATTTGTATTTAAAAAAATCGTCGAAATTCTAAAATTTCGCTTAAAAAGTCCGCAAAATATTTTTCTTAGATTATTTGCCAAGAACATATCTACTGATTACTTGTCGAAAAAATCTCTATTAAAATCTGGTCTAAAAGATTTCTGTATTATTTTTCTTTGGACTCGTCGAAATTTTACTAAGAAACTTAGTGCTCGAAAGTTTGAAACATGCATACTTCTTAACAAAATTTGTCGAAACTCTTTCCATAGAAAACTGGTTGAAAAGTCGTCTATTGAAAACTGGTCGAAAAATTTCATAAAAAATCTAAAAAAAATTGTCGATGAAGATGTGGTCGAAAAGTTTTCTGTAGAAAACTCATGAAGCTAATTATTTGTGGAAAACTTGTACTCGTCGAAATTCTCTCTATATAAAACTGATCCAAAAGATTTATATAACAAACAGATCGAAAAGTTTTCTATTTATACTTTTTTGTTTTTGAAACTGTTAGTTATAAACGTTTTTAATAGAAAACTCTCCGTCGAAGGTTTTCTATAGAAAGCCCATCGAAAAGTTATCGGTAGAGATCTAGTTCAAATGTTGTTAGTGAAAAACACGAACTCGAAACGAAATTTTTGAAAACTGGTCGAAACATTTTCTATTAAAACTAGGACAAGAGGCCATATTTTTGAAACTATTGGCAAACGTTATTCCATATAAAACTTGTCTGTAAAAATAATGTCAAAAAGTTTTCAGTAGATATCATGTCAAACAATTTTTGGAGGAATACTCGTACTTGTTGAAATTTTTCTTTAGAAAATTTGTCGAAATTTTTTCGGAAAAAATTTTTAACAGAATTCTTGACGAAAATATTAATTCATTCGAATTTTTACCAAATCTCGTAAATAAATAATTATTTCCTAGAAAACTGTCTAGAAGTACTTTCAAGGTCATAATGTTATAGAAAACGAGTTCTAGAAGTAATACCGAGATCACTAATATCTAGGTTGCTAAAAAATAATCTGAAATGGTTGTACGAGCACTCCTATAACATTAAACACTAGTCCAACAGATTTATATTTGAAGTTTGTTGCTGAATTACTTATTTGATTACAAAAATAGCCTAGATTTTGTATTTGATGTGTAAGAATGACAATTTATATAAAAAAATTTAAAGACAGGGGCAAAGTATAACAAGTAGTCCGACTCTTTGACAGCAGTACCTAACTCTAAGCATGTGTTAGTGAAAAAGTACCTAACTCTAAATATGTGTTGGTAACAAAAATGTATATGTGTTGGTGCATTCTGAACACACAGAGTTTTATAAAAAATTACAATTTTAAATTTGTTTGAATTTTCAATACCAAAAATTGAAACTCTGTTTGTAAAATAAAGTTCAACAACAACAAAAATGAAATGTCAATAATTAAAAAAAATATTTTTTTCCAGTTCAAGCAAATTAAACAAAATTCTTAATAAAAAGTGCTTGAAAACTATTTAAAAAAAATGCAGTTTTTTTGTGGATAAGTGCAATTTCGCGTACGATGCCTTAAAGTGGCCAAAAAGTAAGGTGAACATTTGAGTGCTTTGACAAGTTTAATTTTCTCACAAGAGAGCCGTATTCACACGGCACTCGTACATGTGAGAGAGTAATTTCGCATATGTGAGAGTCGGACTACTTGTTATACTTTGGACAGGGGTATAAAAGTCGAGCGATTGTGTTTTATTTTCGTTGTTTTTAGCTGTAAAATAGTTTTAGAATTGTAGTTTTTTTGTAATTTAGAAATAATATTCAAAATATTGGTTAATTACAGTCCATGGGTAAAAACATTGAAGAGAAAAAATATAAAAAATATCAAATAAATTATTAGGAGAGATTGAATGAAAACAACTTGATCACTAATCTAAATAAGCAAATTGACGCTCGCAAAGTTGTTATAAAGCAGGAAAAATAAATCGAGTTAAACTCTTAAACTAGCAAGAATATAATAAAATACTATTATTGATTCCCTAGAGCTACATTTTAAAGCGATTTCTCTGGAAAATATAAAATTTAAATAAGCTAAATACTTCTAAAAATTAATGAATGCCAGCTTTATGTATGAACTCTATGTATCAGAAAAAGTGAAAGTGGTATTGTTAAAAGAAAAGTATAGATTAAAAAAACATATATACAATGTTTTATACAAGTTCGAAATAGAATAGTAATTAACAAAGTAAAACCGTAAAAAATCTTTTTCCAATAAAAAAGCTTATTCCCCAACACCACAAAATGTAGTTTACAGTAAAAACTTAGTAGCCCACCAAAAAAAAATATTAATAAAAGTTTTCATAAACCAAGGACTGTAACCACCAATAAAAACCAAAATAAACAAATTTTTAATGTTGTCATTTTAAGGATGGATTGAAATTAATAGTAAAATGAATTTGGAAAAAATTAAAATCAAAATGAAAATAAAACAACGTACCCATGCAAAAAGCTTTTCATACTGGACTCTACGATCGCATACCGATTTGTAACAGGTACCAAATCCTTATCCAGCATAGCAACAGCAGTGACATGGCCACAAAATTGAGCATAATGGTCATGAGTTAAGGGGGAGCAGGTATTTAAAAGTATGGCAAGACCTAGAAGTTATATTAAATGAGTTAGTTTTCCTTATAGGTCCAATAAAACACAGTAAAATGCACCTAAAGGTTTTAAAGATTTGATATGATTTTTCCATTCCTGATCATCGAACTCCAAACGAAAGGGACAATGTTGATCGTGTGTTAAATCCAAAACTTCTGCCACTATACCATTACCTTTTGGTACCGTATGATCGGGTATATCACTTTCTGAATTCAATGAAGTTTGACAACTTTTCTCTTCTAGATTATTGTCATCGGTATCGTGTAAAAAGAATACTTTCTCTGCCGTAGGATTTGGCCACGACAATATACCCTTTTTATCTACACAACATAAGGCGGTAATGGAGCCTAGGACTTGCACCACATTTGCCGAGCGTGGCAATAATTCACTGTTACCCTGCCACATTTGTAGCCAGTTACGAAACACCTTAGAACGATGCAGAGCAACATTTTCATAATCAAACGATGGTGTATCGAGATCCTCTTCAAATGATTTCTCTGAATCCTTGCCCAAGACAAGCTGAGGCGTACGTAGAAAACATTGAAGACGTGCAATGCCCCAAAGATTCATGGAAATCCACATGAGAGGAAATATTAAGGGTAATAATGGAATTACGGCCGAGGCAGGTGATTCTATAAGCATATCCATCCATTCATAATGACCATCGGAAGTAGTTGATAGACCAAAACCATGTAAACGTAAGATGCCAGCGAAAAGTGTTACGATAAGGGCACATATGAATCCCCATTGTTGAATGTATTTGGTGACCAGCTGAAATTAAAAAAAAAATATTTAAAAATAGTTTTTCTTTAAATGCAATTTAACTCACCAAATATCTCTGCTGATTGTATATAGTTGGTGGCCTTTTTAGTGAGTTTTCCAAAATTAATTTCAAATTTGTCAAATAGGGAGTGTTTTCCAAACAACACACTAAATCCGGTAGTGGACTTCTTGCTATGGGCTTAACAGGTGGTTCCGCCGTTTGTGCCACACCATATATCTCATGAGCATTAAATGTTTTCTTACCATTAACCTCCGAACAAGGTCCCGGTGTTATATGACCCGGACGCAAAACAATAAAATCCCCTTTGACGAGCAAAGCCCAAGGTAAATTTACAATAACACCATCACGATAGGTCCATTGTAATGAAACACAAGGTGATAGGGGGCAACAAATATGAGGATAATTATGTGGCTGCCATTCAGCACATAGCTCTTGTTCGGCTAAGCGTATATCATTTAAAGCCGCCCGACATTTGCGATAGATTTCAGTGCGTCTTAGATTATTTTCGCGTATAACGATATATAAATTTAGCGATAAGATAGCTGCTAAACATAATGCGGCAAGATACGAACAAGAGATAAGTAAAGCTATTGTAGTCAGCAATGAGGTGGCAATCGAAGACCAACCCAATGGACTATCATAGCGTTTGACAAAAGCAGAGCGCACCTGACGGTAACAGCTATAATAATTCGCAATTATTAATAATTATTTAATCTTTTAGTCATTTGCTACCTACCTTTCCTCTTTCCACTTCAGTTCATAGCCCTTTAATAATTTTTCTATTTCATCGTGTAGCCGCCCCAGTGCCACTTTTGTAGACAAACCATATTGTTTGCCATTATTAAATGTGTTATTAAATGTTTGTTCTGTTTTTGTATTAGTTTTATTTATTCCTTCTTTTTTGTTGCCACTGAAACCTTCCTCATCCTCTTCAAATGAGGCACCAGACGAAACTGTACGTCCAGTGATTTTATTGCTATACATGGCTTTTTAGATCTGCTCTTTTAGTTTATTTTGACATTTGCTTTACTTTTATATTGTTTCAAAGATTTAATTCATTATTTAAATGTTTTTATGCAAATTTAATACATTTTTTCACTAAAAAACTAATTATTTATAATTAATCAAACAATTTTACACAATTTCTTTTTTATGAACTGTCAAATTGGCAACAGCTGTGAGAAAATTGTGTTGCCATATGTGAATTGTGAGAAGCCGGCGTTTGTTGTTTAGCGTTTTTAGCACATACTCTTGTAATTGGAATTTTAACCCTTGTGAGCTGATTTAATTTAATATTTATATTCCATTAGGGGCGAATGAAAGAAATTTGTTGTTATAAGTTCGTTAGAATCTGATGAAAGTATTTTTATTTAGAAAACAAAATTCTATTAATTCACATTAATATGAGGTTTACCTACAAATAAGTTTTGAATGACGAAATGCTCAATTTAGTTTAGAGAGTATATATTAGACCGTTTTAGACTTTATTATTATTTTGTCCACGAGTTTTTTACAATTCTAAAACTAACTGCCGGTTTTTTTCATTCTTACAAATATATTGAAAACAACAAATAAATTTAAAATTTTGTTTTTTTTTTTCAATATATTTATAAGAAAGAAAATGTTGTTTCGACATTGTGAAACATGCAGTAAATTTCAAAAATCCACAAAATAATTAAAAATTTAAGTCTTTTAAAAATAAAAAAATAATAATAAGATTTTATATTAGTTAATATACATATATGCATAAACATGTTATATTTATCTCAATAACAACATTCCTCTATAGCATATAAGGTATATTGGAAATTATGATATTATAAATGCAAGGCACGTTTTTTAATTTTATAATTAGAAATATGCACTTTTAAGGTAGTGCAAAAGCAACATGTAGTTAAAAAATAAAATTTCATATTTATTTCTAAAGTGATATTCAATTGGAAGATTTGTATATTTTGAGATACAAAGTACAAAATTTAAATACCCTAAATCCCTTTTCGGAGATCCATTATTTGGTAAGATATTTGTAAAATATGCTAGATGTGAGATGTAGACGGAAGGACTATTTCTGCGTAAATAGATAGATAGATAGATAGATAGATAGATAGATAGATAGATAGATAGATAGATAGATAGATAGATAGATAGATAGATATATAGATAGATAGATATATAGATAGACAGATACATAGATAGATAGATAGATAGATAGATAGATAGATAGATAGATAGATAGATAGATAGATAGATAGATAGATAGATAGATAGATAGATAGATAGATAGATAGATAGATAGATAGATAGATAGATAGATAGATAGATAGATAGATAGATAGATAGATAGATAGATAGATAGATAGATAGATAGATAGAATAGATAGATAGATAGATACATAGATACATAGATACATAGATACATAGATACATAGATGGATAGATAGATAGATAGATAGATAGATAGATAGATAGATAGATAGATAGATAGATAGATAGATAGATAGATAGATAGATAGATAGATAGATAGATAGATAGATAGATAGTTAGTTAGGTAGATAAATAGATAGATAGATAGATAGATAGACAGAAATGCCAATTTATTATTAAACATGTTGGTTTAACTATCCAATAGAATGCATATAAACCTCTAAAAAACGTTAAATTAGCCACATTGCTTGCAAATAGTTTACACCACAGATATAACGCTTACACAACATAAATTCACCACTTTATCATAATCAGACGAACGAACGAAGGAATAAACCACCAACAAGAATAAAACATCAAGTTAATCAACAATACACATGGATGCTTCATTCTACTACTATAATTTTATTGAACAAATACATTAAGAACAACAAGAAAAAACACAGGACAATAACAATAAAGAGAGAGAGAGAGAGCATACAAATAAACAAACTCACTCTCAACAGGCTCTAGTCCTGAACATATTCGGAACATGGTCGAATGTAAGAAAAGATAACTGTAGCAGCATAAATACCGTTCGAACACAGTTTATGCTCATTCTGTTTTATTTTTTTCGGGGGAGTTCGTGTGTTTGTGATTTTTTCAAATATTTACTCGCATATTTTAGTGTATTCGTACGCATAATCGAATCCTGTATTTTTATCCTGTATATTGAGGGTGTGACCGGGTTAAATACGAAAAATTTTCATACTTTGTTCGGTACTCAAAATGTAAAGTCCTTTTTACGGTCGTCGTCGTCGTTGTCGTAGTAGTGTGTAAATTGTGTTTGATAACCGCAGACAAAAAGAATTAATTTTCAAAAAAACCTTAAATATAAGAAACTAAATTTAACTAAATAAATATTAAACAATAAAATCCTTAAACTAAAACTATAGCAATTAAAATAACATAGTTAAATTCAATTTTAAATATAAGAAATTATCAAAAAATATATAAAATCCTAACATATATATATAAAAAAATTTGATTTAGAAAAAAAAAGAAACGGAAAAATCCTTATACATACATAAATAATGAGAAAAAAAATTTTAAAGTTTCCAAAAAAATTGATAACACAAATTAAATAAAATTTCTGCTTTTCCTAATTAAAAATTTTAAACTAAATACATAATTATTAACTATACATACATACAAACATATACCTATAGAAATGCATAAAAACAACCTACATTTTTACATACTTGAGTAAAATTATCCTTAATTTTGATGTCAAGTAGTTGAAATTAAAAAAAAAAAATAATAAAAATCTTTTGTAAAAATAACCGTGTCATGTTGTAAAAGGATAAAAACTGGATACGCCAAAGGAAATAAAACTAACAAATGTGTACGTTCTATATATGTTTAAAGTAATTAAAATATGTATATTTTTGTAAGTCACTCCCTGTCTGCCAATTTTTCATATATTCGTTTGTATTACTTGTATTATTTTAAAACATCCTTTTTTAGTTTTCTTCCTTTTCAATTGTATTGTGTCTTTCTTCTCATCACTATCATCATATCCTCTGTTACTTCTCTCTTCTTTGAGACCGACCACACATTCTCATTATACCCACTCACAAAAAAAATGTTCTTAATCACACACCACCCATGCATTATTATTATTGTTATTGTCATTGTGCAGTTCTTAAAAGTTGCACTATATTTCTGAGATCCTTAATACATCTGGTTTCCTTTTTTTCTCATTCTCGTTTTGTTATTGTTGTTTTACTGATACTGTAACAGTAACTTAAGCAGAGCTGCCATGTAAACAATGTATATAATGCGAAAAAAATAAAAACAATTTCTAAACAGGATTAAGGAAATAATTCTCCGAATTGAGAACAAAGGACTGAGAGTTACACAAACAAATTTTGGAAATTCCTATTAGAAATTCATTATGATCCGCAAGTTTATTTACTCTTATGATTTATTGAATTTTAGTTAGAAGTTTGAGTCATAAGAATCAACACTTTAATTAGATATTTTAAAACTACAATTGGGTTTCTATGATTTAAAATTTTCTTATTTAGTTACTTTTAATCTGAACAGTGAAATCTTATTTTAGGTTATATTTAAAATGTTTTAGAGAATAATTAATTGAATATTTTATAATAACAAAGGATTAATTCTAATTCCTATCAATTATTTTTTCAAAATAATATATAAAAATACAAAAATTTTTTTTTACATTTTTGATCGCATTCGTGTCATTTATGACTCTTCTGCACTATTAAAATGATCATATATGCGCTCATTTTCCGATCATAAATTATACTTTGGGAGAAAATGGAACCCCATCCGCGAATCTTAAAAGTGTCTTTTACGAGCCCCTCTTATCAATTCTGACTTATTTTTTAATCTTTTTTGAGTCATTAATGGGTCGAATTACTGGTCTTTTTAGAGTAATTTTTGAATCATATTTTAGGAATTTTTGAGTCTTTTCTGAGTCATTTTTATGTCTGTTGCGGACAAATACAATAATAGAGGAAACAGTTTTTGATCATCCGACTGAGCGAAATATAATTATGAAATTAATTTATAAACAATAAAATTTTAACACCTGAATAATCTATTTACGATTGTCGTACATTTTGTTTTTCAAATAAAGCACATTTTAATCATTAATTGAAAAATGTTTTAAGATCGCGACTTGTTAATCAGTTAGATAACTAATTATCAGACTTAGTTTAGTGATTAGTCACCCAACTATCTACCGTAGAAGATTGTTAAACATAGATAATTATAATTAACGCATAATATTATTTAAATTACCTTTACAGAAACTTTGTAATATACAAACTAAAATAATTATACATTTAACATTATAAACGAAATGAGAATTATATCAACAAAAGTATTTGCCAACTCTTCTAAAAGAGTCATTTATAAGCCCCTTTTCTTATTCGTTTCGATTCATTTTTCAGTGTAATTGTTCTTGTTCCGTTAAAAACTAAAATAATTACATAAGAAACAATTTAAGATCTGCCAACTGCTTGAAATATGATCCCAAAATAAGTTTTTAAAACCATCATATTTTAAACACCAGGATCATAAATTTTTGATACATTTTATTGTTTTTTTTTTTTTTTACAAATAATAACGTTGCGTTATCAACATAACATAGTGTTGTCGTACGTATGTATATACTTTGACAACGGATGTTATTGAAAAATTATAAACTCTTTGATGTAAATTTGGTACCAGGCGTGTATATTTCTTTTTCTCTCTGTGTATATACATATGTTACATTAGATCCGAGAATGTGTATTACCTAGACGGAATTTTTGTTGGGAATCGATAACTTGTACACTACCAACGACCAGAAAACGTTACAGAATTTGTCAAGAAACCGTAACCCTTCATCTAAGAAATTTTAGAACTCTTTTCAGAGGCCTGTGCCAGTATTCCGTAAAATTTCGAAAAATTTATAATCGTCTAGAAATTCTGAAATTTTCATATTTTGTTAAGAACACTATAAACCTTTTTTTTGTTGAAGGTGTAAAGAAAATGGAAGACACCTTTTTTGAGACTCAAGAACATTTTTCAATATCATTATCATTATTTTTAAACTATAATATTTTGACAAGAGTATTGTTAAACTGCAAGACATAGGCTTTAATTAGGAACTAAAACGATAGTTTAGAAAATATATGATGTTAAATTTAATGCTTGTTGAAAGAATTGTGTACCGAATTTT